CCTACAAACTAGTAATAGGGCCGGACAAACCCCTCGGGCTCAACTCCCCCGTAGCGGTAATTTAGATAGGCGGGCGAAGGGCTCTTGGCTGCCGAAGGAAAACGGCTAACGGCCCGATACTAGTTTGGCATCCAGGGTAGAATAAGAGTCGTATAACAGGAGACTGAAGACAGAAAGCGAGGAAACCGGTCTGCGGTTAGACCATTTTGACCTCCAACTCGACTTCCCTGCCACTCTACTGCATTCAAAAACGGGCACACAAGCAACCCCCCTCCCGCACCCACACACACATTGAAAACAATGCGGCGTGCCCGAAGGTAACAAACCCCACCTGTATCCCGGTTTGCCACACGAAGGGTTGCAGCATCTCAGCAGCTTGGTCTGCAGTGCCTCTTGTACCAGCCCCACCAGTTCTTTACGTGAAAAGTCGCAGTTTTGGTTGACAAAGTCGAACTCGCAGAACCTAGTGGAAGATGTGACTCATTTAGGGAACAGGAAATTTGGAGTTTTAGTGACCTTCGTTCAAGTTCACCCCATTTCCTGTGTCTGACCTTTTGATCTCACGGTCATTCCATTCTGCCTGTCGGTCTGCCCTTACCCTGGATGCCAAACTAGTATCGGGCCGTTAGCCGTTTTCCTTCGGCAGCCGAGAGCCCTTCGCCCGCCTGCCTAAATTACCGCTACGGGGGAGTTGAGCCCGGGGGAGTTTGGCCAGCCAAACTCCCCCTGGGCTAGACTTCACCGTAGCGGTAATTTGCACCAGCGGGCGAAGGGCTCTTGTGGCCCGGAAAACGAGTTTGGATTCCAGGGTAGTCTGCCCTCTACCTACGTACTGCTAACAGCTCAGCCACCCAAAAATATAAGTGTATTGGTACTCATCGTATTGACACTGCGTGGGAGGCAGCCCAGGACAGAACCACCTGGAGGTCCATATGCCGAGGCGCTACGCTTCCCTCGGAAGCATGCGGCCTTGAGTGAGTGAGTGAGTGAGGTACTAGTATTATTATGTAGTGTTATACCTAATTATTTCTATGTTCAACAGAAAGAACAGTAGTTAACAGGCTACTTACCACTGCGCTGTGTTACCAAAAATGGTGGTCAGATCAACCCTTGCTCCGAGCTCGATCAGTCGTCGAACCGTGTCCACCCGTTTGTACATACATGCCGCCATGATGGGCGTCGCCTGCATGCCGTCCTGCATGTCTAACGTTGCACCGTGACGCACCAGCAACTCCACCACTTCTGTGTGTCCTGGGGTGGACGTAAAAATATACATCAAGCAATGCTAAATATAAAGAAACGCCCCTGCAGTTCCAGAGCAAGCAGCTATAGGGTCCAAACCTAAGTCACTTCTTCCCCAGCACAAGAGCTACCTACCAACCAAATTTCGTGACCCTGGCATGTCAAGATCATGAGATATCAAAACCGGAAGTTCCGCTGCAGTACCATAACAAGCCGCCAGGGGGCCCAAAATCTAATCATTTTGAGGTCTCATCAAGACCTACCCACCTACCAAGTATGAAGATAATCCATTAAGCCTTCTCGAGTTATCGTGGTCACAGACACACACACACGAAAGCCTCTGAAAACATAACCTTCTTGGCGAAGGTAATAAAGATAATACTAAAATGAAATTATTACACAAACCAATCCTAAACAGGTGACTGAAGACGGCCGTCTGGTGAAGACTGAGCTTGTTTTGGAGAAGAAAACGTCTACATCTGATAAAACTGGGCTCCATACTCCTACTTGTCATGCGCAGTGATTGGTCCAGAGGAATCACGTGATGATCTCAATCTATATAAGGGAAAGCAGGGCAAGCGGACTAAGATATCTATCACTAAGCAGCCCAGCTTCTCTCCGTCCGCCAGACGGAGCCTAAAGCGACCCACCCGACATTTTCGGGTGGCGGGCGTCCGCTAAAGAGCGGCCGCCATACCTTTATGTTACTTTAGGCTCCAGACGGCAGTATCCCCATCACTCATTCCGGAGGAGCGAGGACTGCACATGATAAATAGGACACTAATTTTGACTTCGACCGACATCTTTTTATCTTAGCCAAGCTGCCTACCTCGGCTCGCTGCTCCATGGAGGGGACTAGCCTGAATTGTAGCCTCGACTCTCTTCGATACAGACGCCCCCTTGCGGATGAGCAGCCTCACGATGTCTGTATGTCCGTCTATGCAGGCGTGGAACAGAGCTGTCGAACTGCAGCTGCCGGTCAAGTCGTTGTCCGGCCGGCGTTGGGCGTAGTCAACGTCGGCACCTGGGTTTGGTATTAACCATTTCTGTTAGAAACAAACTATTTGACACATATCTCTACGGCTCTGAATTGTGGAGTGCATTCAAAAGTTCCCATTCCTGTCCGATCGAATCAATTCACTTGAAATTTTGTAAACAATCATTACGTGTTCTGAGATCATCTTGTAGCCTAGCTGCAAGAGCGAAATTAGGGAGATACCCCATGCAATAGTGGAGCAGATAACATCAAATTTTGGAGGAATCTTTCAAATTGTGATACAAGCACCAAACTTGGTACAAATACTCATGAGACATTACTCTTTTGAAAAAGTACGCGGGCCACTTGATTTGACTTTGGCGCCCCCTAGCGGCGCTTTTTGGTACTGCAGCTGACCTTCCGGGCTTTTTATCTCATGTTCTAAACATGAGTTTTATGTGGTAGAAAGCTGTTAAAGTAAGAAAGAAGTGACGTAAATTTGGTGTCTCTAGCAGGTAGCGTTGGAACTGCAGGGGCGTTTTTTGACGGTGCACAATTTGCTCCAAGTAGAGGACTTTTTGGTCGGCTGCAGTACCAAAGAGCGCCCTTGGAGCAAATTGTGCACCGGCAAAAAACGCCCTGCAGTTCCAACGCTACCTGCTAGAGACACCAAAATTACGTTACTTCTTTCTTACTTTAACAGCTTTCTACCGTTAAACGAGTCGGGAACGAGCGACAACGCGCCAAAAGTCAAATCAAGCTGCCCGCGTACTTTTTCAAAAGAGTAATGTCTCGTAAGAATGTGTACCAAGTTTGGTACTTGTATCACAATTTGAAAGATTATTTCAGTTATCTGCCCCACTACAAGTGGTGGCCTCCCTGAACGCAATCAGATATTTTCTTTGCCAAAACATGCCGTCAGACAGCTTTCAAGCAGACGCTTTCTCCTGAGAGTTAGAATTAGAGAAATCTGGAGTTAAATGTTGATCGACAGAAGTGCGTAAGTCCTTAGAAGAGTGCGGGTTTGCTTCCTTATGGCATTTTCAAACTTCACATACTACAATTTAGTAAAAATACGTTCCAAATTGTCAATTCTATTGGCCAACGGTTAAAAGACATATATTTTCAAACGTTCCTAAAAGAAATTCACAATGACAACAAAGGTGGAGCTGCCAAAAATAATTTAAGATCGTATAGATTGTATAAAACTACATATAATGAAGAAAAATACCTAAGTAATGAAAATGTGAAGATCAGAAATGCAGTCACAAGACTAAGGATAAGCTACTACAAATTGAAACAGGAAGACATACCCGCACCCCTCTGGAACAAAGGTTATGTACATGTTGTAATTTGAATAGAATAGAGGACGAATGTCACTTTGTTATAGAATGTAGATTATATATTAAAGAGAGAAATGATCTGTGTAGGCTTGCACAAAACCTATTTCCTTAGGCCACACCAAGTAAATTTTATGGATGACGTCCGCGCGCATTGATTTTGGCCTGTTCCTAGAAAAAAACCCAAGAAATTCCGCTTCCTGTAACTATGACCAAAGAGCCACGACAGTGCCACAAATCGTCAGATTGACGTGAACCCGTAACGCGAAGAAAGTGTTTATTACCATCCTGTTTTCACTGTCCACTGTTCCACCTGATTTATATATATGATGAATAAAAGACTTCTTGCTTGTTACACTGTGTCACCTCATTCAATTTGTGTCCTAGCATTTGTCGTCTCTTAGTATATTTCTTATCTAGGCATCTTGTTTTTTTAGGGCCCTACTTGTTTTTTTTTTGCCCTCTCGCATTAGATTTAGGGTCTCCAAAGGACGTCATCCATAAAATCTACTTGGTGTGGCCTTACTTCATACACTTAAGCACTGTAGAAAAATTCATATTCCTAATGCGACTTGACAAATCTTCCATCGAAAAACATATCTGTTCCTTTATCTCTACGTATACTATAACTGAAAGCGAGAAGTTGAATTTATGTAATGATAGCTAGTTTTATTTTGTATGTATCTTTTCATCATGTTTTCTTTTGACCTGTACTTAGCCTAGTGTGGCAAAAATGTGCAATAAAGTTCGTCATTCATTCATTCATTCATTAAAACTGAATAACACGGGAGTTATTTAGGTTAGGGATGGAGGATACTGTGGAAAATAAAACAAATTTCATGTGTACATTTACCCAAGGACAGTCACATTCTACAGGTGATGAAAGCTCCTTGATTTACTAATCGTGAGGTCGAAGGAAACAGGCTTTTTTGAAACAGTTACCGAAATCTCCCCGAGGTTTTTCATCCCTGTTCCCACTAAAATCACAAAACCCACTTTATTTTTCAATATCATCAAAAACGTGGAGCACTTCAAAAATGTAATGTACGAAGAGACACCAGATAGATCTACAGACTTGAAGTTAAATAGACATTTTCTTACCGGGCGTACTACCTTGCAAGTAGCATTCAGACATGCAAACGTTTTCAAATAAAACTGTTGAATAAACTTTCATGAGATACACATTACAAGGCTTGGTCACTACTACATGTAGTAGCATTTGTGAATGAGACTACTTGAAAAGCTGTCAACGCCGGTTATTGTGATGCGTAATTAGGCCACACCGTCTTAATTTTAATTTTATGGATGACATCCTCAGAAGACCCCCAAACTTGTGCGCGCGGGCGAATAAAAAAAATCCAGCCAAAAATAAAAATGCTACTAAACCACAGGAATACAAAGCTGGTATTGTGAATTTGCGGCAGTACATAACGACGTATACTACAAGCCGGCAAATGCTGGCCTTTAGCGGTCGTGGAGCTTCGGTAGCCTGAGTGCCCGGCTCAGCACAACTACCATGGACTACCCAGGCCTAGAGCCAGGACTAGCCTCCTGTGCAGGCCCCGCGGCGGTGGAGAAGAATTTTTAACGCATTTTTAACGCCCACGGGCGGAAAGCAACCTTCTCTCGGCGGCTATGTAGGATGGCCGGCTATATTAAAATAATGCGTTAAAAACTCTTCTCCACCGCCGCGGGGCCTGCACAGGAGGCTAAGCCAGGACAGAGTCTCGGTGGACTTGATTTTTTTTTTTGAGAACAGGCGCGCGTATGTCATCCATAAAATTAAGTCGGTCTGGCCTAATTACTAGCAACTAGAACACAAGACAAAGTGGCCCACAGCAGTCCTGCCAGACTTTCCTTTTCAGCCCGAGCTTGTATGCAAATTTTCTGCACAGTTGGTGAAAGATCAAAAGGTGTCGCTAGTGCGCTGTACTTCGCACTTCTGCGCGAGTCCTTATCTGTTGATTTACACTTGAATAATGATCACTAATCTTCTTGTTGAAAGAGAGAAAATGCTTACAGCATTTCTGTGGTAAACTGAACATGCGAACAGCACTTGTATAATGATTGAAGCTATACTATTAAAATCTGACGTAACTGCAAATACTAGTACTAGGAGAAAATTATGCACGTAAGGTGCACGAGTGCCAGCATTGCGTGGAACATTCGTCATTTCCGGAGGGCGGCAATGGGAGATTTTGGAGCAAAACAACAACAACAACAAAATGGGGAGTCTTTCCACTTTTGGTCTATAAAGTCTGTGACTTTGAAGGTGTTGTCCAAAAAACTACGTGTTGTCATCCATGATTACTAAACCTATATTTAAACTAATCTCTACCAGCGCTACCACTGTACCAGATCCTAGTATTACAAACAAATTGGTCCGACACCAGATTGTATGGCGCAAATGTATAGCCTCTACCAGGCTTCGAAGTTCCGGATATATCAAGTCTCCAATCAAATTACTTTGGAAGCGTCTATTGGCCGCCTGAAACCAATTGTTCTGTTCTGTTCATGCTTTACGTATACCATAGCAGCCGTAGGGAGACAATAAACTCGAAGAAATCTGCTTGGAGTTTTAAAATCATAGTAGAAATAGACTCATTTTTATAAGAGTATGTCAGACCAAGGTCAGACGAGTACCTCAGGGTGCCTTGTGTCAACGGGGGCATAAGGGCGGCGGACCTATGGGAGGGCCTGCAAGGGGGGTCCCAACAACGCTCTACGCTAAATTCGGAAACCTCTCGATTACGCTTTACGATAAATTCTAAGTGGCTACAACGCATTACGTAGAATTAAAACGCAAAAATATTAGAGCGGTCCGTCTACGCT